AATTGTTTTTAAAAAAACCCAAATGCCAATGCTTTTCACTCTTCAAAAAAAGTGTTAGGAAAAAAAAAAAAGGAATCGTCGGAGGGATCTATTTGCTCTTGGCAAATAGTAAAGGGATCTATCCGCACAATTAGAACTAAGAGAAGTTTATCTGCAACTAGACCACGCTACTAGGGTCTATCTACAATTAAACACTTTAAAAAGTAATGAGAATTGACGTAAGGTTGAGGGTGCATTTGTCACAAAAATGCAAGCTGTACGTATGGTGATGATATATAGGATACTTTGCAAAGTAGACCTATTTTGCTAAATATTTAGCAAAACAGACCGCTTTGTTAAATATTTAGCAAAATAGGTCTATTTTGCAAATTTCTTCAAAATATTCTGGAGAAAAGACTGTGTTTCTTTCTAATTGTAGAAATTAGGAATCTGATCTTTTGATATGCTTCTAAGTTAGAAAAGCAGCAATTTATGTCCTATTAGATGTTTCTTAGTGTTGTATGATGTACATAAAACTATATTGATCTGTAAACTCAATGATTGAAGATCCAAAAGAGAATTTTTTTTCTTAGCACAGCTTTTGTCGCTTGCGCTTTTTTTAAAAAAACAAGAGAAACCTTTGCAGGGATCAAGTTTTGCTCAGTTTAATAAAAGTTATAAAGAGATACAAGTACAAAGAGCTTGTTACTTAATTCCTCTTAAGAGATCAAAGTACGTAATTATATATCTAATTTGTGTTGTTTAGTGATAAATTATTACGTTCATATGACCCTCGTCCTTTTCTGGTCAACGGTCGGCATAAATAAAAAAACGATTGATTTGAACAAGGAAGACTCCAAGGGGATCCTCAACAATTTCTTGCAAGCAACTATGTTTTGATCATAGAATCTTGGATTTGACCTAATTTTTCTGTAATTTGTTGTTAATTAATCAAATATAAAGCGCCGGCCAATCATATTAGTGCCTCCAGCAAGTAAGACAACTGTGAGCAGGGAAGAATCTGCAGCATCTGCTCGTGGAATGCGAAACCAAGAGAGCAAAAACTAGAAATTAATATTAACATTAAAATTCATCTCATTTTGTTTGTGAATAGTGATACAGTAGATTCTCTAGCCATTTTTTTTTGGCGAAAGTGAATTGGAGGCAGGAATAGATTTGGGTATCAATGGAATATTACAGGATCCTAATTAAATATTTGAGCGATGACTTCAAGATTTAGTTTTATTGGAAATATAAGGTCTCTCTATGTTTACAAGATGTAACACTAAGTTGTTTTAATTTACATAAAAACTCTCATGCTCTTGTCTTTTCAAAACCAGTTGCATGCTGGTGGATGGTTCGCAATCTTTAGAGCTTTGCTACAGGGACCCAAAATATGAGACCAACAAAGGGGACATGTGATGTGTCCCCCTCTTGTTGCATAATGACCTGACCATCATTAATGATGGCCAACTCATTATGCAACAGGAGGGGGATACCTCACATGACCCTTCTGTTAATCCCATATTTTGGGTCCTTGAGGAATTTTTCCAATCTTTAATGAGCTGGGTGAAATCTCAGTTTTGCCCTCTATTGAGTATTGACACATCAAAGATTGGTAGCCACCCGCTTTCATGCAACTATGCAAGTAGTTCTGCGAGAATAAGTACTTTATGATTAATATCAAATTTAGTTATAATCGTCCATTACTTTTTCATTGTTCGTAAGATACTAATAAATTCGAACACGGATAAAAATATTTGTGCAACATAGTCGGCCTTTTGGGTGTGCGTTGGAAATTTGGATTGCATTGTAGACCCAGTACACTGGCCCATGACTTCATTATAGGCCCAAATTTTTTAATAGATGTGTAGGTAGGCCGATATATATGAGGCCCAATGGATGAAGAACTTGAGTCGATGGCGAAGCCTGTGGCCAAGCCCAAGTAGATACACCAACATTTAAAGCTTTGAGCTGTGAGTGAAGAATACGCTCGTTCTAACGCAAATCTCATAATCATTTTATTATGTACCAAAAGATGTAAGTACGCACGATTCCTTTGCATGAATTTAATAGTATTTAATCTTTTATAGTACAAAAATAATGTGAATTAATTATATTCTCAATGTTTGATCAACACTACCGCACCCTGCAGTTTAGATTTAGGCCCTCAACGTCTCCATCTCTGCCTTCCAAACCCTGTTCATCATTTCAATGAACTCCTCTGCTCTCTTCTCCAACTCGTCCTCCTCCTCTTCATCTCCTTCTTCAGTTGCGTCTTCTTCGATGAAAATCTCGGCAACCTTCGCCTCGGACGCATGAATGCCTTCTTCAGTGGCCGGCTCCTTAATCAATGTGCTGAGCAAGAGGAGGGAGATGATAATGAGGTTGCACATACAGAATGCAATGAAGGACGGAGACTGAGAAAGTGATTGATCCATGAGCTGGTCTATTCTAGAATTTTTAGCTTTTAGTAGAAAGTGGAATGAGAGTAGGATTTTTGAG